AGAAGCCCCCCCCCCCTTTACATCAGAAGACCCCTCTTTGCAAGAGGAGCCTCCATTCACATCAGAGTCCCCCCTTCACAACATTTCAAGGCACCGTAGAGTACTAAGGTTGTGACATTGAAAGTGGGGCCCTCACAGTATAAGTGTCCCTTGAATCTTACTGTGAGGGCCCCACTTTAAGCCTTAGCACGGACCGTCACTTAAAATTGTAATGTCTTCATTAAAGGGGAGGGAGCGATTAGTACTTGCTCCCACTTCTTCACCTAAGTAAGGATGAGGTACCCTTGTCCCGCCCAAACCCCCGGCCCGCAGCTTCCTGGTATACACATCAAGCATCCCAGGAGGCATGTGACCCAGCAGTCCTGTCTCGTGTAAGGGGGCGGTTGTGAGGCATCAGGAAGTGACAGCTGACCTCTGTAGGCAAGATGGCGGCACGGAACATTCGAAGACCCTGTGAAGAATCGGGTATGAGGAAGACAGCGCTGGGCTTCCTGGGCTAGTAAGTATGCTGACTTTTCGTTCAGGTTGAAGCCAATCTCAGGTGGAATTCTGTTGCCATTTCCCTTATCCAAATCGGTCTTTTACTCACCCAAGTCTGCGGCCGTGTCCCTTGCAGGCCTCTTCCGGTTGTGGAGACAGGGGATCCAGTGTTGCAGTCACCAGCACTGACTGGTCCCCTTTTCCTGCAGTTATGGACCCTGAAAGTTATCCCCTGCAGGACAGCCAATTGGAAGTTCTCGTGTCTCCTAGGCATTGATACGGACACCCCAAGAAGGACCTGACAACTGAAGATGAAAAAAAATGAAAGCATAAAAAAATAAAGAAGCTAAAAAAAATGGTCACAAATAAAAAAAAAATTTAAAGTCCCCCCCCCCCCCCTACATACACATGTAAACATGCGTCGGGTATGCCAACGTGTGCGAAAACAACTATTCCATCCCATTACGCCGCACTTGTTACATATCGCTGCGAACGTCGGAGTGAGAGCAATAAGTCTAGGGCCATCAATCATATTTTTAGACATTAAACTGATGAGCGGTAAAAGCTTTCATAGTGTCGCCTATGGCTAATTTTGGGTGTGGTCGTTTTCTGCGATTTCACAGTTGTGCGCAATTTTAAACTTGGCATGTTTGGTGTCTATTTACCCGATGTGACCCCGTCTTTTATATTTTACCCCAAAAATTGGGGTGATAATAAATGTTTCATAACATTTCATAGGGAAACAGGTTTTTTTTAAAACAAAATTTAGGGTACTTTTTTAGTTATATAGTAAAAAAAATAACCCCCTCCCCCCACCAATGGTGATTAAATACCACCAAAAGAAAGTTCTATCTGTCCCCAAAAAATGGTATAAAATTAATTTCAGTACAGCGTTGCATGACGTAATAAATGTCAAAGTACTGCAGCGCTAAATACTGAAAAATGGCCTGGCCAGGAAGGGGGTGTAACACCTGGTCTTCAAGTGGTTAATAAAACACTTTTTTTTAGTTGTTTCCAAGTATTGCTAATTTTCTGCAGCTTTTTTGCAGCTACTTCCTGTCTATGTGCACTCCAGCAACCATGGCATTTCTAAGGGCAGACTTCCCCATGGTGACAACAGATAGCAAATTCACTTGTCTCCATCCGCATCCTATGTGAAAGGGTGACAATTCAGGCACACAATTGGCGGACAGGGAAAGAGCATTGTCACCTAAAACAGGAAGTGCCTGAACAAGGTGTTATTTCAATAAGAGCTGCAAATTGTATACACATATGAAAAATGACTTCCAAGTGTCATTAATATGTGAAATCTTATGTGAAATTTTAGTTATTACATTGACATATAGTGTAAAATTAGCTTGGGGGTCATTGTCATCCACAATTAGGTCAGGTTGTCTACACGTGTCTGTAAGCCAGCATTCCTTTCTCGCCTCCAGACGCTGATTGGGCAAGACTATGAAGAAAAAGGAAGAAGTGGGCGTTGTCTTTGCTATTCTCCATGAGCCAATGACAACTTTTATTCAGTTAAGGCCCTCCCTCGACGACGCCCTAAGAAGACGGAGCGGGCAATAACCTCCCACGTGTGTGCTCGCAGCCAATCAAACATAGATCGGTCCCCTTTTCTCCTTCGTAACACGAAGGGCGTTGTTCTCCATGCCCCGCCCACGCACGGAGGCGCTGGCAAATCGTCTCTCGCCTTTCTCAGCTTGTGTTTCAGGGCGTGGCCTGCTAAGCCTTCCCACATGTCTCACCTCGGCCAATGGCCCCTTGCCTTTCTCCTCCCTCGTGCAACGGGAAAGCTCTGCGCGCTCCCGCTGCCGACGCGCGCCCCTGCCGACCCGATTTTGGCGCGTTTTTTCCCTTCTCGTGGACGCGCCCCGTGCTCCGGATCTCGCGAGAAATCCAGCGGTTTCACTATCGTGTTTACACTAATTAAACCCATTACCCCCGATAATCCGAACCGAGCCAATCCGGATTAAGTCGGGCTGGTGGTTCCGGAGCCGAGCCCGCAGAAAAATCACCATACAACACCTTCTCTTCCCCCATTCCACCTCAGGGGTCGCCCCTCTCTGACGTAAAAAAAATCTTTTTTGGGGTAATTTGTGACGTAAAATATCGCTATCTCCATCTGACGGAACCCTAGCTGGTTTCCCTGGGGTGGGGGGGCCTGTCGGAGGTTACCTCCCCCGCCCCCTCATGACCGGGTATCCCGTGCTAGTGAAGGGCGGCGCGGGTATCCGCGCCTAGGAAAGCTCGGGGATTTGCGGCCTAGTGTCGGGAGTCTGGGGGGAAGCACGACGGCCGGCAGGGGAGGTGAGGCGGAGGAGAAGATCCCCCACAGGGGGGCCGGAAGACACCCCGGAGCCTGGGGAAACCCACACCGAGGGCCATAGGTAAGAAGCTGGGGGAGGGCCTAAGCCTGGGATCCGCTTACACACCAAGGCCTGACCGGTGGCTTTTCACCTCCACACCCGACATCCTTGGCGGATATCTCCATACCCCGATCCTTTCCACACCTCTATACCCCGACCTACTCCCTTCCATACCCCGTTCCTTCACAAATACACCTCCATTCCCCGAACCCCACACTGGCACCCCACAGCTTCATACCTTGACCCCCCTCCCCAACACTACATCATAGTGACCTCCATACTCCGACCCTTCTCTATATTCTGACCTTCCCAACACACACCATATCGTACTGTGATCCCCCAAACCTCCATACCATGATCCCCACAAACACCTCCATACCCCAATCCCACAGCTTCTTACCCTGAGCCCCCCAACACACGCCACATTATACACTGCCTCCCCCCAACACACACACACCACATCATGCTCTGAACCTCCATACTCCGATCCCCACACATACACCTCCATACCCCGATCCCCACACATATACCTCCATAACCTGATCCCCACACTCACAGCCACAGCTTCAATACCCTGAGCCCCCCCCCATATTCTAACTCCCCAAACCATATGTTGACCCCCCACCCGATCTGTACATATCCATATAAGATGCTGATCCAGAACATACACAGATTTATTCCTCTCAATAGGCATTCATACATGTATGTCCTTCTCAGCATCACCCATCATTGCTAAGCCTCAATACCAGCACCATCTGCACTGATCTTTATTACATTTTTATTATGCAGGGTGTCTCCAGAGTCTGGATCCATAGCAGAAAAAGTTTTATTACAATAAATGCTCAAAATGGTGGCCTTGGACTTTACAATGCTTGCACTTTGAGAATGTTGAACTGCAATGCAGAAATGTCGATTTCCTCCTTTCGCAGAACGATTATTCTGGGTTGATTCTGATTGACTTCAGATGACTCCAAAAAAATAATAGTAGAGTAGTGTTCGGTCTGGAGACCATTCAACATTCACAATATTCTGGGCCAGCTGTTCTTCATATGGATGGAAATTTCAATTCTGATCCAATGCCTATGGATCCAGACTCTTGGAACACCCTGTATAGTTGTCTATAACAGCCCCATTCACCTCTATATACATTTGTGTACCTGCTTCATCCACATATATCGCTACATATATTTCCATCTTGTACATACTGATACCGGGTTCTTTTAAATGTCAGTTTTACAAATTTATGTTAGATATTCCATCATTGTTGCTCCGTCCACCTACCAGTCATTGATATATACCTCTCCATATTGTATGGCACAGAATTCCGCTCTGCTTTTTGTTCTGTTTACTCTGTACTAGTAATCACTGTTCTGACATAGTAATAGAAGGTTTTCATATGACTGAGATTATTGAATACCACCTTGTACTATGGTCTCTTTTGCAAGTATATCTCCATATCAACCTCCGATGTGTACACCTCCCAACCAAACCCAGGCATAGATTGATAAATCTCCATATCAACCTCCGATGTGTACACCTCCCTACCAAACCCAGGCCAACCTCTAATGTTTATACCTCCCTACCACCACCAGCCATAGATTGATAAATCTCCATACCAACCTCTGATGTGTGCACCTCCATACCATCACCAGCCATAGATTGATAAATCTCCATACCAACCTCCGATGTGTACACCTCCATACCATCACCAACTATAGATTGATAAATCTCCATACCTACCTCCGATGTGTACACCTCCATACCATCACCAACCATAGATTGATAAATCTCCACACCAACCTCCAATGTGTACACCTCCATACCATCACCAACCATAGATTGATAAATCTCCATACCAACCTCTGATGTGTACACCTCCCTACCATCACCAGCCATAGATTGATAAATCTCCACACCAACCTCCAATGTTTATACCTCCCTACCATCACCAACCATAGTTTGATAATTCTCCAGAACAACCTCTGATGTGTACACCTCCCTACCATCACCAGCCATAGATTGATAAATCTCCAGAACAAACTATGATGTTTGCACCTCCCTACCATCACCAGCCATAGATTGATAAATCTCCATACTAACCTCTGATGTGTACACCTCCCTACTATCACCAGCCATAGATTGATAAATCTCCATACCAACCTCCGATGTGTACTGTTCCCTACCATCACCAGCCACAGATAACTATTGATAAATCTCCATACTAACCACCAATGTGTATACCTCCATACCAGCCATAGATAACTACTGATTTACGAACATTTAACAATCACTGATGAATATACTTCCTTAACATTACCAGCCATTGGTAACCACTGAATTATAAATCTCTGTACCAATCACTGATGTATACACCTCAATAGCATCACCAGCCCTTGACCAACCACTGATTTATAAATCCACATACCAACCACTGATGTATACACCTCAATATCATCACCAGCCCTTGACCAACCACATACTTTTACCATCACCAGTCAAATCAGTTACTGATTTTGCCACCTATAGCAAAATCATTCAACACCAACTTTACTTCTGATTTGTGCTTATATTTTATATACCTGTGTAGCAAATAATCTATGAAATGTATGCATTATCCAGGCCATCTCGATCTCCTCCATAACATACATAAGATCTCCTACATAACTCTTTCAGCATTTGCACACAGACCTGTATGTTGGTAGAATATTGTCCATGTGCCACACAAGTACCTTCCACATACCAAGCACCAATTTTATCTTCTTAGCAACACCATCTACATCATGGCCCTTATTTATTCACACTCCATACCAACATCACATCATACTGACCCTACAAGCACAAACCTAGACTGATCACTCCAGGGCTTGTGAATAAGGGGCTTCTTGTCCTTTATGTAATGTTTTATTTATCACATTAAAGTTCATAAAGTGTTCTAAAGAACTCCAGGAATTTCTTTTATCAACCTTTGCAGCTGGCCGGCTCGGAGCTTCGGGTGGGTATAACTTTATTTCTGTCCCTGGGCACAAATGGACCTTTAACCCTGGCAGTTTGGGGGTAGCCCCACTGTAGGGGTTAATAATAAAAAAAAATCCTGGAGTTTTTTTTTTTACATTCTGCTTATCAACATAATTGTATATTTTGTTTGCTTTCAAAAAAGCCTGAGTGCATTCTTCATGGATATTATGCATAGTCTATTGGGTGAAGAGCTATTGGTTTAAAATGATTTTAAAGTCAAAAGCTTTTTAAGATCTTTCAAATGCTGATGAATTCACTTACATGAATGTTGCTTTTTGATGTGCAAAGGTTTTGTTTCCTGTAGAACCAGCTCGTCCTCTGAGCACTGGTCCTGATATCCTGTTTTAGGGTGGCTCCTTTCCCTTGCAGGGTCCTATGGAGCTACATGTGTGTGTGCTAGTAGGCTGTGTGTGCTTCCACAGACAAAGCAAGGCAATCTGTTCCCTGCTCATCCCTTCAACTTTCTCCACGCTTCCTCCTCCAGACTCGTAGATGTATAGTTGCTGGAATCTGCTCTTTCCCTTGTGGTCCTGCACTAGACAGGAAGTTCAGGGAAGTCAAGCTGAGAGAGTTGGAGATGGCTATATGGAAACATGATGACTGTAGGTGCTTGTGCAAAAAAAAATTAAAGATGTACTTTGCTGGGCAAAGTATATTTGTTTCATCTGTGTTTTATTGATGAAAAAAGTTTGGGCATTTTACTACTTTAAAGTGATATTAAAATGTTTTCAGGTATTTTAAATTCTGATGAAATCGCTTACAATGGATGCTGCTCCTTGACGTTTAAAAGTTTTAGCTTTCTACAGAATCGGCTGACCCTCTGGTTTCGATATCCTGTTTTAGGGTTGCTCCTTTCCCTTGCAGGATCCTATGGAGCCAACCTTGTGTGTGCTACGGTAGTAAGCTGTGTGTCTCTACAAACTCGCAGGCACAGTAGGGCAAGTCACTCCCCTCCTTCCTCTTTTTGATGTGAGTTTAGTGGTGAGGAGTTTTTTTTCTTTGTGTTCTTGTTTTTATAGGTGCCATGGCATCTACAAATTGGTCCCACTTGCCATTGGGGATTTGGGAATCTATTTATACAGAATGCAAAAAAGAGGAACGGGGGAACCCCATGTGGGTGGGATCATGCAAAAAGTGAAGGTTGGTGGTAACAGGACAAGGAACTGTGAGAAGGAGATCAGCTGTGGTAACGGAACAAGGAACTGTGAGTCCCCAAGAGATGTTTGTGGGGGACTCTGTTGGATTGGAGGATTCCACTTTTAAAACTAATATTAGCCATACACATGGCACTTTTTAACCAGCTTTTATGAGTCAGTATGGCAAACAGGTCAGGTATTAGCTTGGAGGGGGCGGAGGTATTG